ATAGATAGATAGATAGATAGATAGATAGATAGATAGATAGACAGACAGACAGACAGACAGACAGACAGACAGACAGACAGACAGATAGATAGATAGATAGATAGATAGATAGATAGATAGATGATAGAGATAGAAAGAAAGATAGCTACTTAGATAGATGATAGATGATACAGAAATAGATATAGATTATGATACATAGATAAATATGTAAAAAGAGCACTTATTAAATTAAAAATTTGGTTCCCTGTGGTGGCATAGTTTGGGGAGGCTAGCTAATGTGGATGTGGAGGAACTGTGTCACTAGAAGCAGCCTTTGACAGGGAAAGACTCCTACCTTCTCCAGTGAGCACTTTCTGTATTGTACTGTGGTTCAAAGTGTGAGTAATCAGCTTCCTATTCCTGCCCTCATACCTTGCTTTTCCATTCTAATGACCTCGAATTGCAAGCCCAAATAAAATCTTTCTTCTGCAAGCTGACGTGCTCATGATGTCTGATCACACCATCAGAAAAGAAACTAACAATAACCCAAAATGAGCAAAAAAAAAAAAAAAAGTAAAAATGAAACTTGACACTGAGATTGCCAACTACATGCACAAAGATTCTGTACGTATCGTTGTATATAGGAAAATGTTCAAGGAGAAGAAAACATATACATGCATCAAAATCAGAAGGGCAATAATCTACAACTGTAGAAAAAAACCTCAATTGCCTCCTGAGAAAAACCAACAGCCAGAGTAAGTAGACAAATGCACTGAAACTATTCATCACACAGAGGCAGAAAATTTAAGTTTAGATAACAAGGGAACAGAAAAATAAATAGTTGTGATGCAGAGCTAGGAGATGGGGGAAAGTATTTTGAATCTAATAATGTCCATACATTCACTGATTTTAAGACTTGCTGGATGTTTATATGCTTTGTACAGATGTCACATGAGTATATGATGAGAATATATGAATATGACAGTGTAAGAGTACACCAAAAACAACAGCAAAAAAAATTATACTTAAAACAAAATCTATAAAAAAATGGAGAAACAAATTGAGAGAAGCATCTTTTTTTTTCTTGTTTTCAGGTCACTGTGCTTTGTTAAATCCATTAACAAAAATATTTTCAGCTACAAATGAGCAGGAAGCAAAAGGAAGGATGTAAAAGTATAAAAGTATACAATCCTACTTTAATTATTTCCACTTACCAGTCATCATTGTTAAAGACAATGAAGCCTTTGTTTCCTCTGCCAAAAGCTACTTGGTTGCTGCCATTGTCCCACCAGTTTGAGAAAGGCTCAAAACCGACTACGTTTCTGAAGGCAACCATGTTCCTAAAAGCACAATATCACGTGAAATGCTCGTGCCCTTTATATTCAACAATTTAAAACAAAAAGTTAAACAATTCTCTTATTAGACAAGATCTGTAGGGGACACTCCCAACCTGATCTGGCGCCATCGATGTTCACAGACCCAGCCATTGCCACAAGTGGTGTCTGCATTTATCGTCACTTCTTTGGTTGCTCCATTGTCATTTGGTGGTCCAACCCAATCGTTGATATCCTTAATTACAAGAAAAAAATTGCAGGATTTTAAGATTTGTGTTGCATTTTCATTGCATTAACTAAAAAAGTTCTGCTTCCTGATTCTCTATGGTGTCTACTTAGTGTCTAACTTTGAAACAGTACTGAGTATTTCTCTAGAGTCATATTTCAGAGAAATATGACATTTTTATCATACACACTTTTATTCGCTCAGACTGTTTCCAAGCAATAACTTCGTAATATCCCTCTAATTTCTTTAGTATCACTAAAGTGGTAAGATTTAAAGTGTATCAGAAAGATTAAAGAAGAACAGAATCCAGTACCAACGGCTTTAGAAAACGCATTCAAGATACATGTCATCTATCCCTAAATCTCATCATCTATAAAATAGAAATATTGTTTGCTCACTATAAAATATCAATATCTGTAGAACTTCCTTGGCAAGTGTAATTAATTTTCAAATTAATATAAGCTTAGGTTTCATACCATCACTTAAATAAAAGTACTAATAAACATATTCTAATATTCTGTAATACATTTTCCAAAGTTTTAATATGCATTTCATGATTGCCAACACATTTACCCATCTTCCTAAAACAATTAAACAAACACTCTCTCTATTGACAATAGCGGAAAGGTCTCTCTTCTAAACAAAGAACTATCCAATTTAATGACCTACGAATCTGTGGTTCCTATCTGTTGGGTAGTTGTGTAGATGAGACACCAAACTGCTCGACATTGCAACATGCCAGGGAGAAGAACCCCTGTACTGTCTTCAAGAGCTTTACCCTCTATGTCATCTCCCCAGGCATTTGGTTGCTTTTTGAAATAGTTCAGTTAAAGTATTGCATGATATTTTTGTAATGCTTAGTATTCTTGAATCAGTCTTCAAATTTATTTGATTCATTTAACATAATTCATATATATGAATATTATCCATATATAGTAGTTAATCTAAGTTACACCAAATGATTTCTTTCCATCAAAATATTCTAAAAGTATTTACCAAATATTTATCTTCCTCAAGTTTTAAAGGCAGGTCTGGCCCAAAACTAAGATGGGGTAGAAGCATGCCACAATCCCCAGATTTTCTCACCCTGAGAGCAACAGGAGTTTGACTGCCTCCGCTCCACATGCCTCACCCATACCCCACATCCCCTGCCTGCTCTGCACCAACAAACCTCAACAAATAGACATCCCAGGGTGCTATCGTACCCTGGTGGATGTAGCAACTGATAAGCTCATGTTTCTCCAAGGCTATGAGGACTCGTTGCTGTATATCTGAATAGAAAAACATCCCAGGCTGGAAGTTCTTTCTTTTCTATATGACCTTATAAGTTTTCTTGCCCTGGCTCTTGCTGCTTCCATGTATACACATGAAGCACACTGGTTGTTCCTGCCCCCAACCAGTAAAATACCACCACAGGGGTCCAACCAGACTTTCTTTCTGGGTATAACTGTTCTTTGCCCTTTCTTAATAAAAGACCTGTCCTCCAAAAGTCTTTTGCTGTTCTTTCTGGTAATTCTTTCTGGTACTCCTTCAGCCCTGGCAAGTGTTCCCCAGGAATAAGGCATAATTCTAGTCCAACATTAAATGAACTTGGTTATCATCTTTACAGGTGTTCCTATGCACAATCTCTACATATCATTGATGAGGTAAGTACTATTAAACTCCTATGTTTTCCCTTTTGTACCTTGATCTCTACTTTTCAAGATCTTCTCATAATGATAAATGGTACTTTTATAATATACTTACATTACTAAAATTACAGTATATTAATATTTGGTGGCATTGTTTTATACAACAAATTTTGTGTGAAATTATAACCTCTTCCCTTTTATTGAAAAAAATATATATTTAAACTTACTTTTCCGTTCTCAAAATATCTTGGCCAATGGTAACTTGACATTACTCGTGTGAATCCATAAGGATGAGCCAACATAAATCCAACTGCCATTTTATAGAGTCTGAAAATTACAAAA